ATGATTCAAAAGGAGGATATCAATAACTGGGTGTGTTGGCACAAAGCTGTGTAAAAGCATTTAGGAGTGGAGGGTAGATGTAAGAAGTTTAGAAGTTCAAAGAAAATGTCCCATATACGATTGAGACTCCCAAAGGATAGATCCTGTCTCAAAAGCAATTTTTTTTCTAAGATTATTATGATGGTTATTATATAAAAACCTGAATATATTAAAACAATTGAATTTGTACACTTTAAAAAGAATTCCACTGAATGGGAATTAGCTCAACAAAATAAGTATTTAAAAAACACACACACAATTTACCCTAACACGAGAAATAAACAAAATGCTGAAGAGGCAGGAACAATAAACCAGGTAACCATGGATACCGCAACTAATTTCTGGCCTGAGATTGGTGAAGCAGCTACTTCAGGAAGAAGTAGTATTGAGATGTGGCAAAAACTGACTAGCAAAAGTAGATTACACATTAATGCAAAGTAGTAATTTAATTAAACCCTTACACAGTTAAAAAGTGAAAATTCTCAATTTTGTTAAGTCTAAAGATTATTTATTTTCTTCTAAATTAACAAAATACACGTTTAATTTTAAAAAATTATCCTTAACAAAAACCCAAACTATATATTTGGCTACTGAAAAAAGAAGAAGAAGAGGAGGAGGAGGAAGAAGAAGAGGAGGAAGAGGAGGAAGAAGAGGAGGAAGAGGAGGAAGAGGAGGAAGAGGAGGAAATAATAATAATCTGGTATTAGATACATGGGTATGGAACCTTTTAAATCTTCACTTCTAAGCTGGGTAAATTTGAATGACTGATTATTCAACTACTCTAAACCTTACCTGTCCTCATTTTTAAGAAAGACAGTTCTTGTAAGGCAGCTGGAAGGCTATAGAGGCACATGGACTGCAGGCATTCAGAATAACTTCCTCAGCAAAAGTCTGGGCACTACATACTGCAGGGATAGCAGTGGCTTTCTCATACCAGGGGCCACAGAGAAGGGAAGCCAGCATCTGAGACCCTTCCAGCACTGTACTCATATAAAAGGTTAGTATTAGACACAAGATACTAAGGGTTTCATTAAGGTTCTTAAGTCCAATATCCTGTGACAAACAAAAGCAATTTCGTTATTAGACAGTTTATCACATTTCCGGATGACCCACCAGGGTGAAACAGCAGGCTTCCTTCCCCTCTCCTCACAAGGCTTCTTCCAGCCCTACAGGGCAACCAAGCTCCTCCCACCTAGTATAAAGAACAGCTTTAACTTGCTCAGGTTCCTCCCTCCAAAGACGTTCAAGTAAACTGTGTCACAAAGTCCCTCCTGCTCAAAACCAAGAGGATGTAGGTCCATAAATATTTATCATTAGTAGTACTTAGAAATGATACAGTGAACTCAAACAAATCCAAAGATTTCTCAGTAAACGCAAAGAAATAAAAACTTTAATGTTTTTCCTCAGATAAACTAATGAAGTATTTTCTTTACTTTATATAGCACAGCAATTACCTGTATTAATTGACTTGAAAAAAACCCATGAACATCTACTCTTTACCCGGGGGGAGGGAAGGGGTTGAAAATATATATGTATCTTAAAAGGCTAAACTGCTTGTAAGCACTAAGAAAACATGCATATCACAACAAAATTACAAGATTAGACAACAAAAATAAACACATTTAGCTTTTAGAAAGGAAGCAAAAATAAAAGATCCTTTAGAAATATGCTCAAATGCTATTGTTTGAAAATATCTAGCCTGTGTGTAAATATTACTTGAGGCATAGATTTTTACCTTTTTCCTCAACTTAATGAGTACTAAACTAAAATACAGATGCATGTGTATCATATAACACATTTAACCAGTTCCAGGAGTGAAGAAAGTATAAAGGGAAGAAAGAAAAAAAATCCTCATCTCTGCTATAGATGTTTTGTGTTATAAAGAATCCCTATGTCCCCAAGGATGGCTGGAACTAAATTCCTGGTTTCCTGATTCCAAACACATGGTTTTCCTTCTAAATCTTGAGAATAAAGTAAAAGAGCAGCTGGAAACAAGATTAGACCATAACAGCTCAAAGTCCCAAGACTCTTGCACGCTCCAACATCCTACAAGGATCTTAGGCTAGCTGAAGTAATGTACTTGGTGTAACTAACTGAGCACTGTTAGAAGCAGCATGGCACCATGCACACTTCTTTCATCACTGGAAGTGTTCAGGCTGTGAGTATATTAGACACTAAAAGAAAATAAGTAAAATCACAGAAAAAATGTTAGAAAAAAAGCATGAACTCATCCTCCCATTGCACCATAACCCACCTCCCCTTGTCGGTAAAGTACTTACACTCTCATCTCTTTCATGTGAACAAGAGATCTATGTTCACGTAAACACAAGAGATTTAAGACAGCAGCCTGCTATAAGTTCTCAGAATGTTGGATTTAAAAAGTCTTAAGTATCTAGCAACTCAGCAGTTCTCACAGGCAGTTTTAAAATATAACTTATTTTTATTTATATTTGTGAGTAAACATCCAAGTGCCTGCCACATAGTGCCAGAGGGAGTCAGACGAGGGAACTGGAACCCTGGAGTTGGAGTTAGAGGGGCTGTGATCTGCTCAAGTTGGGTGCTACGTTCTCTTGGAAGAGCATTAAGTACTCTTAACTGCTAAACCGTCTTTCCAGCTGTAAGAAGCTTGTTAACCCATCTGATAGCTATAGAGCATAGCTAGGTGAGAGCTAGCTTTTAGGTGTTTTTTTTTAAAGGCTTTTGTTTGGCTTTGTATTTTTCAAAAAATTTCTTTTGAATTTTTAATAGTTTTAAAAACATTATTTATTTATTTATTTATTTATTTATTTATTTATTTATTTAATGTATATGAATATATGAGCAGGGCATTGGATCCCATTACAGATGGTTGTGAGCCACCATGTGGTTGCTGGGAATTGAACTCAGAACCTCTGAAAGAACAGTCAGTCCTCTTAACCACTGAGTCATCTCTCCAGCCCTTGTTTTGTAATTCTGGAGACAGGCTCTCATTATGTAGCCTTGGCCAGCCTAGAATTAAACAAACAATCAAACAAAACAACAACAACAAACCTGCCTGGCTCTGCCTCCCAAGCACTGGGATTAAAGACAGGGCTCTACTGTGACTGACATTTAGCAGTGTCAGGAGATTTGTTTGGCTTTTCACCTGGAGGCTACTGCTACTTGCATCTAATGAGTAGGGAGACAAAGTACTTACAAACACACTCAGTGCTCATACAATAGCCCACAACAAAGAACTATCAGGTTCAAAGCGTCAACAATACAGAGGTCAAAGAACTCTACAGTTAATTAGAGTATAGTTCAGTAGGTATAGAAACTGAGTCTCCTTGAAACTGGAGAGATGAGTCGGTGGTTAAAAGCACCTGTTACTCTTCAGAACACCCACACTCAATTCCGAACTCCATGTAGAGGCTCATGACTCCACTCCAGTTCCAGGGGATCTGACCCTCTCTCTTCTGAACAATTTGAGTATCAAGCTTGTAGGTGGTACAGAGATACACATGCAGGCAAACTATCCATCACATAAGCTTGAGGGCAGGGAGTGAGTGGCTACTGAGGTAATCAAAGCTTAGACCTCAGAGAAGTAGTCTGACTCTAAACCACAGTTTCCTATGAAGTCAGATGATGATATTGAAGATGGAGAAAATAGCAACCCACTGAATAGTTATGTTTTGTCTTAGTTAGGGTTTCCATTGCTATGAAGAGACACCATGACCAAGGCAACTCTTATAAAGGACATTTAACTGGGGTTGTCTTACAGGTTCAGAGGTTCAGTCCATTATCATCATAGAGGGAAATGTGGCAGTGTCAAGTAGGCATGGCACTGGAGATGAGAGTTCTACATCTTGTTCTGAAGGCAACCAGAAGACTGTCTTCCAGGGAACTAGGAGGAGGATCTCAAAACCCATCCTACAGTGACACACTTCTTCCAACAAGGCCATACCTACTCCAACAAGGTCACACCTCCTAATAGTGCTATTCCCTGGGCCAAGTATATTTAAATCACTACATGGTTTCTGTTAGTATATTTTCTGTGTTTGTCTGTCTCTCTCTGTCTCTCTGTCTCTCTGTCTCTCTGTCTCTCTGTCTCTGTCTCTCTCTCTCTCTCTGCCTCTCTCTCTCTCTCTGCCCCCTTCTCTCTTTCCAGAAACCCCTTTGTTCTTCAACTCAATTTCTTTTTTTTCTCCCCCTCCCCCCTTTTTGATTGTTTTTTGTTTTTTTGAGACAAGGTCTCACTATGTAATCTTGACTAGCCTAGAACTATGTAGATCAGGCTGGCTCAAAGAGATCTGCCTGTGTTGGTCTCTTGCATTCTGGGATTAATGGTAAACCTGGCATCTGTTTTTAAGAGTATGGTCTTAAATAGTTTGGCCAGCTTAGAACTCACTAAGTAAGTAGTGAACGACTTTGAACTTCTGATCCTTCTGTGTCTATCTCACAAGCACTAAGGTTACATATGGGTGCCACTACACCAGTTTTAAAACTTACTTTATAGATAAATTTTTAATGTATTAATTATAGTATAGGGACAAATCCTTAGTTCTCATTAAATTAATAACAAAGACTATGCCGGGCGGTGGTGGCGCACACCTTTAATCCTAGCACTTGGGAGGGAGAGGCAGGCAGATTTCTGAGTTCGAGAGTTCGAGGCCAGCCTGGTCTACAGAGTGAGTTCCAGGACAGCCAGGACTACACAGAGAAACCCTGTCTGGAAAAAACAAAAAAAAAGAACAAAGACTATGCTCATTTTGGTGCTTTATTTCATTCAAAAGGAAGTGTCTTCTATATCAGAAAAGAACAAAGATAAAGGTCTGATTTTAAAAAGATTTATAAACTAATATTCACTAAAAGATTCATGCAAAAAATAAAGGGATCCAGATTGCAATACACTGCAGCTGCCCTGGTACCGCAGTTTCAAATATCCTCAGCACATTCTCTCGTGTAATACCCTTCATTTCACCCCGAGAAGGAATGCTGGCAAAGATTTCCACCACATGGAATCTGCTGTTGAATTCCACATGGAATTTAAGCTGTTGGGTCCTGAAACTTTATTCAGCAGTTTGAAACAATTCCACAGCTTTGCTCATTCACTCTCCCACTTGGGACTAATGCACAGACATGAACACCTATTGAGGAAAACCACAAGGACTTCAACCAGATACTACGGTAGGCTTGCTTTTCACATGTTAATTTAAATATTGTGTGTTAAAGTATGATTCTAAAAATGTTAATAAATATAAAGTCATCTGTAGTGTAAGTTTCATTTTCATTGAAGAATTAATTTCTAAAACATTTTCATAAATCATCTTATATAAGACAGATGTAGATTAAAACTGGAAGCAGAAAAAGTTACAAACCCATTTTATTTTGAAATCTCAACCACTGGATTTTTGACAAACTGGCATCTATAAATGCAGCACCAGTACCTTTAAGTGAGTCTGTTTGTAGTTTTAAAAAAGTCTGAAGTGTGTATTCAGCAGCTAAAATTCACTGGTGTGCCTCAAAGAATTGTTCCAGTACATTCTCCAAAAGTTCCTCACTTAAAGTTTTATTAAATTACCCCAGTCTGAAGTGGTATTAGTGATGCTTTTATATTTTAAGCTTAAAAAAGCAACATCACTAACTAGTAACAATCTGTTAAATGTATAAAACTAAAAAGATTAAATGTTTTTCCCTATATTCTATACCACTTAAAAGTGTTAATGTCTACTTTTTATGATGTTAAACCTAAGGTTTAAGTTTTAAGCCTTTTCTCAGAACTGTTTCTTTTACATCAATATGAATCAAGAGTTCCTTTAGAGCAGCAATGCTGAAATATGATATTTTTAACTCACATGGCACAGGATCATGGATCTTTGTATTAACTATTCATGCTGCAGGTACCCCGAGAAGATTTTGACTGCATACAAGTATCCCTACTCAAGGCATTTGACATTTAATAAACTTACCAGCAGTTTTAAAATTGTTCATGGGTAAGAAATAAAAGTACTTTCTGAATTTTTCAGAATCTTCACTGGCACATAAAACACTGTATCTAATTAAGGACCACTAAGGGTTAAATACTTGCTCTCTAGCCCCTACTGCATCCATCCTGCCAAAATATCCTCCAAGCTTTTAAATACTGCTTCCATGGTCTACATTCTTACTTCCAGGGAAAAAAGAGTTTGTTCCACAGTCATCAGGTCAGTAGTTTCCTAACTTTCAGTCACCTTGTGTTTGCTGCAATGAAGACTGTACACTTTATGCTTCTCCTGCTACTCTTCGTGCCTCTGACACAGCAAACACCACAGACGCAGCTGGACTCACATGTTAACTATGAGTATGGAACAGACAATTCTGAAGAAACCAAATTTAGCCAGGATTATGAAGAGAAATACCTGGATGAGAAAAGTATTAAGGTATTTTATTTCTACTTTAAATTTATAATCTAAAATGATACCCATTTAAATGCATTCTTTTCCCCTTAACTTCAATATTTGTTAAGTTCAGAAGGAGAAAGGCTTTAAAATTTAAAGTAATTATATTTTTAAAGTATGCATGATTACTGAATTCATAATTAGTAACTATGATAAACAAGAGTATCTAGAGAAAATCTAATTTAAGTTTTGAATTAAAATTTAAGAGTCATTAGACTTTAAGGTGATCTCTGACAGCTGAAATGTATATCACACAATGCTACATAATATCCTATAGTTGTATGTTATATTGTCTCAAAAATAAATTAGGAAAAGATGTATTATCAGCTTATGTTTATAGAATTCAGAAAAATCCAGTCCTAGGAAATGAATATAAGAATACTTACTGGTTATGCATGCCAATCACACAGAGTACCAACACAAAAAAACTCCTTACTACAGGGATTTACTTTTAATCACATTCCACTCTACCAATTTGTACCCAGGATTTGTAATGACAGCTTCAAGTTAAAAAGCAAAACAATGAAACAAAAAAGCTCATAACCTATTGTGTAACTGCAATGATCTGAGTCTATCAACCAAATGTAAGATACTTTCAAAATTCCTTGAATCTTAAAGCTTTCTGCTTAATTACATGGAGCTTTAAGCAGTTTTTCATCAATATAAATGTTTGGACTGGTATTTGTGTGAACTCAGTGGGGGAAGAGTGACATGTTTACACATGGAAATGAGGGCTAGGGCAAGGTCGAAGTGCCCTGAGATAACATGGAGCCACAAACAGAAAAAAAAAAAAGTAGAATGAATAGGTCCTCATGTAAATTACAGTCTACTAGCAGAATGCACATTGTCTGAAAAGAGTACAGAGGGCAAGGGATAATCCCCAGTTATACAGTGTTAACAGCCTATGCCAATGCCTGGTCAGGTGAAGAGGCTAGAATATAAGGGATCCATCCTAAGGTCAAGGCAGGAAAGCATCCGGCTCATGAAAGAAGCTGTACTGTCGCTCAGAAGGGTCGAAAGTGAAAAAAGGAAATTAGTTCATATGAAAAACTATAAAGAATAGTTTCATGTTAGAAAAACTTCCATTCCCATTCAGAGAATTATTACTGTTAATAATATCAAGTACTGAGTTCAGCCAACCAAAACAAAAAATTTTAAAAGATGGATTCTTTTACTCAGGAATGCATATTCTACCTAGAGTATCGACAGTGTGGTTTAATGAATAAAGAAATGGAATTGTGTATAAAATCTAAACAGAGTGCTGAGATACAGCGCTGCTGAGGTAGAACTCCAAGATAAAGTCTCTTTCAGCCATAGATCCCCTGAGCCCACATGGTGGAGAGAACTGACTATTACAAGTTGTCCTTTGTCCAATATATGTGTTACATACATACATACATACATACATACATACATACATACATACAAAATGCATATACATAAAAGAAAATCTTAACTAAGTACTTCTAACTGTGACTAAGAGAAATGTTTGTGATCTTTCTGATTTACAGTAAGACTTGTGACTTATCACATCTGATAACAAACTTCTACCTTTACAATAGGAAAAAGAAATTATGATAATTCCTGATGAGAAAAGTATTCAGTTACAAAACGATGAAGCTACACCATCATTACCTACCAAGAAAGAAAATGATGGTAAGTATGAACAATCTATCATCTAGTATTTTTGAAAAGTATCATTTTAAAATACAAGAAATTTTGCTCTTTGTAGTTATAAAAATTTGCCTCAAGATATAGTAAATTATAAACTGAAATTTCACCTCCAATGGGAAAGTCTATAGTTATTTGCAATGAGCTCATCACCTAACATTTCACACTGTGAGTGAAAACTGTGGACCAGGATGTTCAAGAACATCCAACACTTTGTCTAAACCTAAACTTTAGAAAACTTAAGTTTCTGTCCACATAAAATCAATTCAAAAGCCAAGCATGATATCATACAGCTTTATTAATCCCAGAACTTGGGAGGCAAAAGCAGACAGATCTCAGAGTTCTAAATCAGTCTTAAACAAAGGAAGTTTCAGGCTAGAAAAGGCTAAGGAACAAGACGTCTCAAAAATAAATCAAAAAATACTTAAAGATTATTTTTCAAATACAATCAATAGCCTTAGGATGAGGTAAATATAATACAATTAATTACTATCTTTATGAATCTCACAGAAGCTGGGATGTACTGACAGTGTTTGCATGAGGCTCTAAATTCAATGACTAGTAGTTTAAAAAGAGCAAGCAAAAAAGAAAAGCAAAAAGGAGAAAAAAACTCTACACAACTAAGTACAAAGTCTGCTTCAATGAAAACAATAGAAAATTACAGTAAGATAACAAAGCACAAGCCATACTTGATAGTTCCTGTGTTTGATTTATTCCTGTTATGCTATATAATCTGGTCTCACATGAGAACATGAAAATGCCCGCCCATTCCTACCCTGCTACAACAACATTAAAATGAACCAAAACCAGAAAATACATTGTAAAACAGATTCGAATAATAAGACATCCTTTTCTTAGATAGAATGATTCAATACCATAAAGATATTATTCTCTAAATTCAGAAAGTATAGGTGATCCCACTGCAATTACTAAATTTTGATAATGCTTGGAAAAGAGTCTAAAAACCATAGACATACATATATAGAAAAATGCAAAACTACATGTGAAAACACTGAACAAATGCCAGATAAAACATACCATGTTTAAAAAGCTGGGAATAATGTATGAACGAATACCATTGACACAGATTAAAAAGACTGGACATGTTCAGAAACACAAAGACACTGAGTATAAAGTTAAAGTATGGAAAAATACTCAAGCACTCAATCACCAAGGGAGAAACATTTTAAATAAACTGAGTCTAGGAGAACTACATAGCCATTTGGAGAGAGATAAATCAGATCCATATTTCATAAAACAAAAGAAAAAATAAACTTAAGAAAGATTAGGGGTCTGCATGTGTAAGATATCACCTTGCAAGCATAAGTAGGCAGTCTGGTAGTGGGGTGGCTCAAAATCCAGAAGTTTTAAATAGACATTTTTTTAAAAATTACTCTATAAAATTACAAAAAAGCCACTTTTGCATAAAGCAAAAGGCAACCAAAATGGGAAGGATATTTGTAATATATTATAAAGATGTAGTATCTCCAATTTATAAAGAATTCATAAATTGAAGAAAAGAAACCAAACAAAACCACATCTGAGATCCAGTAATGTGGCAAAGGGCCAAGCCCTGACTATCTGAGATGAATCCCAGGTCCTGCATGTTGGACAGAACAAACTCTTCCAACTTGTACTCCAAGCTCCACACATGTGACACAGCAAGCACAAATGTTCATGCACATACACACAAAACAAACACACAATAATATTTTTAATTAAAAAATTAAGAATACACTTAGAAAATGGGCAAAAGTTATGAAGACCATTAAAAATGATTTTAAAGTAACACTGATGTTCAATCTCAATTTTCATTAAAAAACAAAACAAAAAAATTACATTCTACCCCTACTTAACCTGTTTGATAAAAATGAAGACAAGGGCTGGAAAGACAGCTCAATAGTTAAGAGTATTGACTGCTTTTCCAGGGGACTGGGGCTATGGAAGTTATAGCATCCCACAACTGTCTGTAACTCCTGTTCCAGGGGATCTAACACACTACACAGGCGTACGTGCAGTCAAAACACCAACGTACATTTAAAACAAACAAACAGACAAACAAAGACAGTATACCAAAATAGTACATAGTCAAAGAGGTATAGTAACAAATACTCTAATATACTGTAAGCAGAAATATGAATTAGTACAACACTTCTAGACAGGTATTTGGCAATATTGAACAAAATCAAAATAGATGTACTTGGTTTTTGGCAGTGCTTGTGATTGAAATGGAGGCCAACTGTGTGCTAGAAGCACTACTATTGAGCTACAGCCTTAGCCTCATATTTACTTTTGACAGAGTCATCACATTTTAGGATTTTACCCTGAAGACCTATACCCAAAATAAAAAAGTAAAATCACTAAAGCACCATTGGCAATTATAAAATACTGCAAATAACCCAACAGCCCAAACACTGCACAAACAATGGCACGTCCACATAAGGAGACACAACAGAGCGACAAAAGGACAGAGACAAGGCTAGAGGTATAGCTCAGTGGGTAAAGTGCTTGCTTAGCACGCAGGAAACCTGAGGTTTAATGGCCGCATCTCACAACATTGTTAATAGTAGTTCATGTTTGCCATCTCAGAACATTAGAGATGGAAGCAAGAGAATCAGAAATCCAATGTCATTCTCCGTCATACAGCATTTTAAACCAGCCAGGCCCTGTTATCTAACAACAACAACAACAACAACAACAACAACAGCCAAGCTCAAAACCACAAAAAACAAATGACAACAACAAAACAAACAAAGCAAAATAGAAGAGCAAACAAAAAAGAGTGAGGGCAACATGTGCAGACATGGAGTGATTTCCAACATACAAGTGTGTAAAAGAAGTAAACCCTAACAGCGGGTCTCTCCCATGCTGCCCTCCATAGAGAATACATGGAGTAAGAGCTGACCTGTAGGTGTTCATTCCTGTGAAAAGAAATGCAGAAGAGGCGATACTCTAAAAACTGACAAGGGCTGAGGATTTAGCTAAGTGGTGGAACACTTGCCTAGCATGTGTAGGACTCTGGGTTAAATCCAGAGATTTAAAAACCAACCACACAGGCCAGTTACACCAAGGAAACAAGTGAGAGAAGAAAGGGAAAACTGAATGGGTTGAAGAACAAGAGTGGACAGTTTTTGTCTAGGCTTCATTTTTTTTTTTTAGAACAATGCTGTTTCATAAAAGCAAAGAAACATATTTAAATGAAGTCAATCAAAAAACTTATAAAAAACAACAGAAATATAGACATTAAAACAGGGAGTGGGGAGGCCTGGCAGTGGAGGTGTTGGGGACATCCTCCTGAGGACACAGGGGAAGAGGAATGGGATGAGGAACTGTGGGAGGATGGACCGGGAGGGGGAAACGACTGGACTGTAAAAAAATAAAATAAAAGTAAAAATAACGACAACAATAATAAACCATAGCTAATTGTATTTAGAATTAACATAACACAGTAATGGAGAAAAAAAACTAATCCAACTAAATCTTAAACACAGTATTTGACTATAAATCTTGAAGCTAAAGAAAAACAAATCAGAAGCAGCCATGTCTTGTTTAGACAACAACTGGGCTAGTGAGATGGAGCAACAGTTAAGGGCACATGAGTCAAGCCTGATATCCTCCGTGTGATTCCAAGAAACCACAGATGGAAGAAGATAGCCAACATTCCAAATTGTCATCTGACTCCCACTTCTGTGTCCACATGTGTGTGCATGCAAACATAATACACACAAAATGCTTTTTAAAGTACCGTAAAAACGAGACAGGGCTACATTGTGTTTTATAACAAATATAAACATCATAAACAATTTATACATACTATACATCCTAGGCCATAAAGTGTGAGTGTGTGTCTGAGTATGCATAAGTGGGTGTGGGTGTTAAGACTATCTTACTGCTCTTAGGGGAGTGAAAAAAAAGTAAGACTAAATTAAACACAAGAGATGCTGTAGATGCAAGATGACAATGTTGCTGTTAGAATAACACAGCAATGCCAATTTACAGAAAACTTCTTAAGTCCCACACTCTAAAACAATGTCTAAATAGTATATATATGCTAGTAAGTCAACTGCTTATTATCATTATCAAGTAGTACACTAGAGTTTTGCTCTACTTTAGGAATCTGGCAATGCAACAAGTCTGTATACCTAGCATCAATACACATACACAGACATGAATATGTGCACACACACAAAGGTAAATGAGCAATACATTGCTTGTGACTTTCTGACAACCATAATGTCACTTGGGTAATAAAAAAATTTTCAGTTACATTAAATCTGTAACCACTGTCATGTATTAAACTTGTCATTAGCCAAAACAGCATTACATGGCCATGACTATACTAAATTCTAGTAGGTAGGTTTATATTCATAGTGTTATGGGATAATATTAAAAGTGCTTAATTTGTGTTCTAGACTGAGTAAGCATTAGTTAATGAAAACCTTATTTTCAATGTTACAGAAGATCATTATAAACAGAGAAAGGCAGAAGGCTAGAAAGAACACCTTGGAGCTGGATTAGAACAGAGATATCAGTATATCAGTGTGTGGTGTGTGTGTGTGTGTATACATACATATATATATATGTATGTATACACACACATATACATATATATGGAGAGAGAGAGATGAAAATCTACCATGTGTTTTCGCCTCTGGTGTCTGTGCTAATATGCTATGCATTTACACATACATGAGTATATACATATACACCCTTACACATGTAAGTATATATGTGTTTGTGTGTTGTATGGATACATGTACAGTATTTTCAGATGAAAAATGCATATACTTGTATTTCTTTGCCTTATCTGCTGAAAGAATCTGCAGCAAAGAGACTCCAAGATCACTGAGCATTCTCTGTACCTAGTCCTTAGTTTCTAACACCATTCTTCACTGAGAGACAGTGAAAAGGTTGCAAATTTCAGGACTGGGGTAGGGAAAAACAAGATGGGTTTGGGATATCATGAGATGCTGCCAATAAGTTTGATCATAAATAATAATGGGTACACTTAATTTAATTTTAAAGTGTTCATATAAATATATGTGTGTGTGTGTATGTATGTATGTATGTATGTATAAAATTGTTGAAAGGATATAAAATAGTCAAAACAGTGAATTGAAGAAGAATAAAGTCAGATAGTTTTACTACCTGACATATTATAAAATCAAAGACATATTATAAAAGCATAGGAATCAAGATACTAACATGTTATTGGCATAAACATTTCTTTTAAAGATCAATGGAGGGTCAGTGATCTGGCTGTCTTAGTACTTGCCACCAAACTTCCAATGGCTAAGTTCAATCCCTGGAACTCAATGGTGGAAGGAAAGAAATTACTCCTAGTAGCTTTCCGACCTTCACAAGCATGAATGTTAGAGTCCAGAAATACTCTTCTATCATATGTGTTTGCTGACAAAGTGTTGGCAATTCAATGAAGAAAAGAGAAATTTTTCCAAAAGCACCAATAGAATAAAATAATCTTGAGTATTCCAGATATATACTTAAGAGTCAATAAATACATAAATAAATAATAAATGAATAAATAAATAAACAAATAAGTAACAAGTAAAGTGATAAGATATTTGACCACAGACTTTAAATAAAATTTTGATGGAATTATCAAGCACAATACAGGTTGTTGGTTACCATAATTATCTTTCCTGATATCACCAATGATTCTGTAACCTATCTTTTCAAATCACAGCACTCATTATAACAATAATTTTACCAGCAGATGACAAATATTTTCAAATTAGTTTATGCTTACAATTTTGTCTCCTAATTTAGAAATGCCTACATGCCTGTTGTGTGTCTGTTTAAGTGGCTCTGTCTACTGTGAAGAAGTTGACATTGATGCTGTACCACCATTGCCAAAGGAATCAGCTTACCTTTATGCACGATTCAACAAAATTAAAAAGCTGACTGCCAAGGATTTTGCAGACATGCGTAAGTTTAAAGGCCCAAGTTTCTGTGTATTTTTCACTTACTATATATAAGGGCAGCACTATTGGAGCACTCAAGTATACAACATACACTTTATAAAAATCACTTTTTTTCTTACTACAAGAATCTCCTTTCCTTAGACTTCTGTGGTCATTCTTTCCTGCTGATTTTGCTACTCCATCTTACATAGGTATTGTCTCAAGCCACACACTGCTCAGGTGGGAGGCAGTGTCAGTGCAACCAGGACGCTTCTCCAGCTAACTAGCTGCCGTATTTCCACTTTCACCATAAATACACAACTTCTTTTGTTTTCCTTTTTATTGTTTATTAGTTTTTTTATTCTTTGCTTTGTTTTCTTTTGTCCTTGAACTCAATGTACAGTAGAGGATGGTGCTCTGGAACTCCTCCCCTGCTGCCTTCACTTTCCATGTGCTAGCATTACAAGCTCCTAGCTCCTGTAACTAAACCTGGGTATATTTAAAAAAATATCCGGAAGAGAGCTGGAGAGATGACTCGGTGTTTAAGAGTGTTTGCTGCTCTCCCAGGACCTCATCTGGACTCCACAGTCACCTGCACTCACATATGCACTTACCAACACAGATAAAAACATGCACACATAATTAATAATCTTTTTTAAAAAATAGCTGGAGAACAGCTTTTAAAATACCAACACCAAGCTGGATTCATTACCATGAAAAGGAACCATCCTTCTTAGATGATTCAACGGAGACAGTTCTGAAACAGTGGCGGTTAACATGGTTAATTCTCTTTGCCAGAACATTAGCAGTCAGCCATTTGGTGCTCTAACAAGCCTTAACTGAACTAAAGTGCTGTGGTCAGCAAACCACTAAGGCCTCTTTCTGCAGCACCAAGTCCCAGTCCTAGATGACTCACTCCTTCTCAGCAGGAATTCTAGATTCCTAAGTCAAATGTTTCTAAAGAAAACCAAAACCCAAGTAACATTGGCTTTAATACACTTTACTTGTTTACTGGAAGTACAGCAGCTGAGTCACGTTTTGCCCCACACTAAGCAAGTGCTCTCTACCACTGTGCCACATGCACGGCTTCTTCATTTCTACATTTAGGGGATTAAGCCTAACTGGATTCATGCTGCCACTAATAAGTCTAAGTTGCAGACTGAAAGACAGTTTGTCCTTATTATCTGTAGATTCCATATTGGCAAATTTGCTTTTCTGGGCATGTAGCTCAGTGCTAGAGCACTTACCTAGCACATATGAAGGTATGGATTCAATCCCCGGTATGTTTATGATCATTAGCAGAAATTCACAGAACAACAACAAAACTGAGGTGCGCAAAACACATGTTTCCAATTTCCAACTAAGGTATAACAAGGCGAAGCTCTACTCTCAGTTGTCATAAAGTGTAGCGATGTCTCACTCAGCACATCTAGCATCATGTTTTTTTCAGTTTTCTGCTTTATATTGGAAATGTGAGTTGAAATGGCAGCAAGCATAGTGCCGGGTGCCATCTAGTATTTCAAAATGCAGGGCAGCAAGGATGAGCCTGCGCACAAAATGCCAAGTGTCGGATAAATTTCACTCAAGCATGGGTGATAATGTTCATGAACCCAAAGGGTATATTAAACTGTCTTTAAACAAAAATATACATAAAACAAGGTTCATATTAATTGGTTGGCAAAAACAAGTGAGCAGAAGCTCAAGAGTACCTGCCTCTGGAATTCTAGAAGCAAACCTCTGTATTTACTAATTCGGTGTTACAACAACTTCTGAGTAAACAGCTACTATGAATGAAATGAAACTATATCCTAACCATCTCAGCCTAAGCTGTCCCCAATAAAGGGAGAGACACACAGAATGAATGAATGAGTGAGTCAATCTCTCAGTCTGCACCATGTTAATAATCAGGATATATTTTTGTCTTTGTTTTTTTAACTAAGAGGGTACAGACAAATTAAAACAATGTACCCACAATTACAATGCAATATGCTGGCAAAAATTTAAAATAACAATTACATGCTTAAATCTAATTAACCAAAATTACTCCCTATGATGTGCAGTAAGAATTTCTTTTGATGTTTGGATAGAAAGACAATGAACTGTAAGATTCCTTTTGAACCATACATTCTAAGACCACAGTAAGAAAAGGTATCATTGTTATGCACAGAAAGACTCAGTATTCAACAAAACTTTACTTATGGGGTTGTGACTACAGCTCAGTGGTAGAGTGCTTGCCTACCAAGCAGGAAGCCTCTGGCTCAGTCGCCAGCACCTCATGAAAGCACAGCTGTACCAGGCTGTAGGTCAGATAATCAACACTGCAAGACAAATTTGACTGAGTTACCAAATGCAAATACTAATCTGGGCTCTGAACAGAGACTTGGGGCCTTGAGTGGTCTGTTAAATGCTTTTCTTCACTTTATACAATGAGATCCTAGTATATTTTTATATTTATTTCCCTCAAGCTAACCTAAGAAGACTTGATTTTACGGGAAATTTGATAGAAGACATAGAAGATAGTACTTTTTCAAAACTTTCTCTGTTAGAAGAACTTACACTTGCTGAAAACCAACTACTAAGACTTCCAGTTCTTCCTCCGAAGCTTACTTTACTTAATGCCAAATACAACAAAATCAAGAATAAAGGAATTAAAGCAAACACATTCAAAGTAAGTATTTGATAGTATAACTAAACACAGTATCTGTGATTATATTTTAAGTCTTTATTACATTTATTTACTGTGTATGCTTATTTATTTTGTGTGCTGGCTCATACCAGGTACACATGTAGAGGGCCAAGGATAACTTGTGGAAGTTATCCTCTCCTTCCACCATATGGGTTCTGGCACTGAAACTCAGGTCATCAGTCTTGGCAGCAACATGTTAATGTTGCTTCCCCCACCCCAATCTGCTCCTGTACTACTGTGGATGTTTATTTCTTTTCTTTTTTTTTTTTTTTTTGGTTTTTCGAGACAGGGTTTCTCTGTTGAGCCCTGGCTGTCCTGGAACTCACTCGGTAGACCAGGCTGGCCTCGAACTCAGACATCTGCCTGCCTCTGCCTCCCAAGTGCTGGGATTAAAGGTGTGCGCCACCACCGCCCGGCAGATGTTTTTTCTGTACAGCACGATAAGAAGTAAAGACAGTTGTAGCTGGCATTTATCCAGACCAATATTTTCAGAACTTGTAACAGAATGACATATATTCCACAAGGGAACATTGGGTTAATATATATGTATGTATGGTTGGTGGTATACCTTGGTGGTAAAAAATATGCTTAAGCATGCTTGAGACCCTAAGGTCAACCCTCAGCACCAAACAAAATCAAACAAGCAAAGTATGTATACCATAGCAAATGTCATATAAAGACAGAAAAACATGTGTTTTCTATTAATAATGAAGGAACATTTTTGTATTTGAAAATAAACATTACTAGCTCATTGTTTTAAAAAGAGTTGTACTGTTCCTATTAACCAGGAATAACCAATATCTCTTATATTTAACTCTAGTGGATAACATAGCAGTGTTCCTCAAAGAATAAATCATATAATTTCAAAAGAATAAGAAATGCTTTATGAAGTTGAAAAATGTAATCATATCAGTCCAGAACTTTCATAGCTATGATATAACCACTCTCTGCCCTAGAAGGTTACCTCAGGCAAAAGCATGAGATGTTCAAGTTACTGTTGGAAGAAGAAAACTTATTCAAAAGGCAAGATGGCAGGCATGGTGGAGCAAGACAGAGGAAGGAGGATCTCTCTACCTTTACTGCTAGCACAGTCTACATAGCAAGTTCCAGTCAGCCAGGGCTATACAGTGAGACACAATCTCAAAAATAAAAACAACAACAACGACAAAGACAAGATCTCACACACCTACAATTGCAACTACTCACGAGCTCAGGCAGGAGGACCTGAAGTTTAAGACTAGTTTAGGCAATATCACAAGATTAAATGTAACTAAACTTACCAAATTCTAATATATGCTAGTTTATATAATCACACAAATATCTCATCCATCCACAACTGCCTGTTTACAAATACTTCCAAGATAAGCAGTAGTAGTGCATGCCTTTAATCCCAGCACTTTAGAGGCAGAGGCAGGTGGATCTCTGACTTTGAGGCCAGCCTTCAGACAGCCAGGGCTACACAGAGAAATTGTGTCTCAAAACACATGTACATGTGTGCATGCACACACACACACACACACACACACACACACATTTTTAAAATTTAATTTTGTAATCTAAAGAAATGAATTTAAGTAGGTGAGTCTCTGAATAACTAGCAGGCCACAGAATTTTTAGAGCAGGACATGGTGCAACTCCTTGTAGTCCAAGCTACTTGGAAAGATGAAGCAAGAGGCTGCTTAAGAACAAGTGAAAGTAGGGAAAGGTAGGATGACCATACTCATCTTAGAAGGAAGAAAGGGAAGGAAGGAAGGAAGGAAGGAAGGAAGGAAGGAAGGAAGGAAGGAAGGAAGGAAGGAAGGAA